CCAACAGTTTAGCCTTGTGGCCCCCAGACTCGTGCTTGAAGTGTGCCTCTTTACCCTGCAGCCATCGCCTGCCCAGTGCTGAGCGCTCCAGACCGGGGAGAGCTGAACTGCTCCCACCTCCACGGGGACTTCGCCTTCGGGTCCACATGTGCCTTCTCCTGCCAGACGGGGTTTGCACTGACAGGGCCAGAGAGCCGTGAGTGCACGGCCACAGGGACATGGACTGGGGAGTCCCCACGATGCGAAGGTAGAGTTGCTGCTCAAGGTGCCACAGGCCTCAGGATGACCCTGAGATGTTCTTGGGTGTCTTGGTCTTCTCATCCTAACAGTTTAGCCTCGTAGTCCCCAGGCTCCTGCTTGAAGTGTGCCTCTTTACCTTGCAGCGATCGCCTGCCCGGTGCTGAGCGCTCCAGACCGAGGAAAGCTGAACTGCTCCCACCTCCATGGGGACTTTGCCTTTGGCTCCACATGTGCCTTCTCCTGCCAGATGGGGTTTGTGCTGATGGGGCCAGAGAGCCGTGAGTGCACAGTCACAGGGACTTGGACTGAGGATGCCCCACGATGCAAAGGTAGAATCGCTGCTCAAGGTGTCACAGGCCTTGGGTTGACCCTAGGCTGTTCTCCAGTGTCTTGGTCCTCGTCCCAACAGTTTAGCCTTGTGGCCCCCAGACTCGTGCTTGAAGTGTGCCTCTTTACCCTGCAGCCATCACCTGCCCAGTGCTCAGTGCTCCAGACCGGGGAGAGCTGAACTGCTCCCACCTCCATGGGGACTTTGCCTTTGGCTCCACATGTGCCTTCTCCTGCCAGACGGGGTTTGCACTGACAGGGCCAGAGAGCCGTGAGTGCACGGCCACAGGGACATGGACTGGGGATGCCTCACGCTGTGAAGGTAGAGCTGCTGCTAGAGCTCAAGGTGTTATTGGCCTTGGGGTGACACCAGGATGTTCCCCAGTCTCTTGGTCCCAACAGTGTAGTCTCCCACGCTCCTTTTTGAAGCATGCCTCTTTACCATTGCAGCCATCAAATGCTCAGCACTGGCCATCCCCAAGATGGGCCAGGCTGCCTGCTCCCACCTCCACGGGGACTTCGCCTTTGGCTCCACGTGTGCCTTCTCCTGCCAGATGGGGTTTGCACTGATGGGGCCGGAGAGCCGCAAGTGCATGGCCACGGGGACCTGGACTGGGGACACCCCGCGATGCAAAGGTAGATCTCGTGATCACACGTGTGTCTGGAAGTGCTCTGTTGTAGCAGACTGCTTTCCTCATCATCCCCTTCCCCTTAGCACCCCCGGTCCATGGCAGCTCATCCGCTGGCTCCCCAGTCCACATGTCCCCATTCCACCACCATTGGTCCTGTCCTATTGATGCTACCACTGTGCTTTATCTCCAGCCATCAGCTGCCCAGTGCTGGGCCCCCCCAGCAGAGGCCAGCTGAGCTGCTCTCATGTGCACGGGAATTTCACATACAACTCCACATGCACCTTTTCCTGCGAGGAGGGGTTTGTTCGGATGGGAGCAGAGGTGCTCCGGTGTGCGGCCACGGGGAACTGGACCAGGCCTCCCCCTGTCTGTGCAGGTACGGTGCGACCCCCAGCTCCTCTAGCACTGGGAGGGTCCAGCTTCCTGCAGCACACCTTGAACGTGGTGGGGGGCACCCCAGCAGCTTGGGTGCTGTGAAGTCCTTCTGACAACTTTCTAACCTGTGGGTCTGCGGATCTGTTTCAGAGGACAGTGCCCCCTTCTTAAAGCAAGTCCTGGCTTACAGCAGTGGCACAGCTCTGGCGGCAGCAGGTGTCGTGCTCTCAGGGACGCTCATCGCCCTCCTTGCCAAGCGGCTCAGCGACAGAGGTACAGAAACGCCTCCTGCAGCCCACCGTCACTTTGGCCAGGGGCTCTCAGGCAAGGTCCCAGGGGAGGGTGGGATGATCAGAAGAGTTTAACAGTGTGACTGCTTCAATCCACGTGTCTTATTTGCTGCGAGTTGCTTGGGTCCTTGGCAGTTTGTCTAGTGGAAAGTGTCAGCAGCCAGGTTTGGAGAGCAGAGCCAGAAAAACACCTTCATTGCAAGGGGGAAGAAGGCAAATGTTTCAGCCCCCCCTCCCCACTCCATCCCATGCTTGTCAAACTCGGTTCAATTTCAGACGCTGCTGCTGCAGCTTCTCACGTCCTTCACTAAACAGATCTGGTTATTTCTTTTCTATATCTGCCCTATCCCCGTGGACATTTCGACATTGTTATCAGAGGAGAAGAAGAAGCTCCTGAACTCCACCAGGTGAGAGCTGTGCTCTGCAGGAGGGTGGCTCTGCCCCGTGCCCGTCACAGCCCTGCGGTCACCCCGCTGTCACCCAGATCTGCCTGTGAGGCTGCTTTTATACACAGTAGGAGCACCTTCAGGACTGATGGGGCTGTGCTAATCCATGCCCTTCACACTCCTGCCCTCTCCCCCAAGGTGACAGCCTTGTGTGTGTTTTCCAGTGACCTAGGATCACCGGGCATCTTCACCAACGCAGCGTACGATGCCAACCTGTAAGGTGAGCACTGGTGAGATGCTCACACTACCCTGTGCTCTTGCAGCATGCTGGAAATATTCCCCCCTGCTTCTGTTGGGAGTCACGCATGGAAAATTCACCTGGGCAGCTATCCTCCTGCCTGGGGTGCTCCCAGGTGGGGACACCCCTTGGGAGGAGAAGGGGGGACCCGCTGCTTTCTGTGCTGCACCAAAAGGGGTAACACCAGTTCCGGCTCTCCCATGCTTCCAGCCTGGCTGTGACCAAAATCCACCACGTCCCCCAGCGCTGCAGGCACAGCAGGGGCTGCTGCCGGGGCCTAGAGGGACTCCACGCCTCTGGCTGCAGTCCAGACCAACGCTGCCGGGTGAAGACCGCACCCACACTGCGTGTACATCCCCCCTCCCCCGCCCCGGGGAGGGGAGCTGCCTTCCTGCACCACCCACGCATGAAGACCTCTGAAGATCAGCCTGGGGCCGCGGACCGCCTCCATCGCCGCCAGCCCCTTCCCCTCACGGAGCTGTCTCCCTCCCCTTGGACGTTCCCCCGCGGCTCCCCCGCTCGTGCTTCTGGCGATGGGCTTGTGTCA